AGAGGGTTCGTCGCCAGCCGAGGGTTCGTCGCCGGCAGAGGGTTCGTCGCCGGCCGAACGTTCGCCAGCATCAGATACATCGGGCATCCATTGTCGACGAACCGGAGGGCCCTTGAACATTGCCAAAGCGGCCCAAAGCTGCCCCAGAGAGTGCCCATACTGTCGCACTAGGGCGTGTTCGCTCCAGCCCAAGTGCGTTGTTGAGTCGGTAGGCCCAGCAAGGAAATCTTTCATTTCTTTGCAGTCAAACGTCTTTTTTTTAGGGTGTTCCCTCTGTATCAGAACCCGGCAAGCAAAGAGCTCCTCGCGACCCCATTTGCTAGCGGACTTATGCTTCAGCTTTGAGAACAACAGGCCTGGATGCTTAGCCTTGTACTGCTTTTGGAAGGCCGATTTGGAATTGATAGTTTGGAAGTAATATGTAGCAGCCATGATTGGTAAGGGTTGTGTAAAGAGTTGAGCAAAGAGTTGAATGTAAGTTGTGAGATGAGGCCGTTCGAGGAAGGGGCTGCTCGGCAAGAGACAGAACTGTCAGAGTCTTGAGTGAATGAAGACAAGAGATAAACCAGGAAATCACTGGGCCTTTCATGGTTCTTATACTTATGAATTCCAGCGAAATTGCCCCTCAGCTCAATGGTGAAGGCCTCTTCTCTGTTCTTGTGGCACATGCCATATGTCAAGCGACGGCTGCATGCATGGTACCCCAGCATTTTTCCTCACATGACTCACCCCTTGCGTGGCCTAATACGTGGCAGTCTTTCCGGTATCACCTATGTATTCGAGTTCTGCGCACAAGAAGTATCCCAAAAGTTGCTGCCCGAGAATCGTGCTGTTGGTAATACTTGACTGAGGTTGTCCCAGGGTGTGTAAAATCCGATCTTCTTCTTTACTCTTTACTCTAGCGACCTTATTAATTATTATGCTCTCCTTTATACTCGTAAAGGTCTTTTTCCTTTTTTATTTTGCTCTTATTTTGTGGTAGTTCTCTTGGTCTCCTGCACGCCTGACTGCTGCCTACCTAGGTACCTTCATTAAGAAAGGTGGAGTCTGTGTGGCCTGCCTGATCAGGCCCTCCCTCCGTCTGCCTCCTCGCTGTCGATTCCAAACACAACAAACCGGTCGCCTGCGAATACTCTTTGTCGGTGCTCGGAACTATCTGAACATGAAAAACTCTCTCGTTGTCATGGACTCCCCTTTGATGTCGCTCAACATGCGCTTCTGGCGTTCTCGAGAAACTCTTTTGCGCCCAGTCCTCTGGATGGCCCAAGACCTGGATGCATTCAACTGCCAGTTCGGCGCCATCAAGATAAGCGAGGTACAAGGCTATACGACCACCGAGGATAGATCAACTACGACCGATTCAAGCATAATAGACGATGTCTCGCAGTTGGAAAGGCACAGCTACGCGTTCGGCAAGACGTGCTGCATGAGCAGCATACTGGCCGACACGAAGCTCTATAGATTCTCCACGTAAGCCAAAAGTCTACTGCTCGCGGTGAGCTGGCAGTCAAAAGAGCTAACTGTGATTTAGCAGCAGACCACCGCTCCGCGTCGGGAAGCACACCATTCACCACAATGTCACGTACGCGTTGTTTTGCCCAGTGAAGCGGCGTCGAGCGCCGAGTGACCTGCCCCTGATGGGATTCGTCGACCACTGCATGATCGACCATGCGCGAAATGTGTCAAATTTGAGGGAGCGTTCACGGCCAGAGCACCGCAACTTAGGATTCTACGAGAGACTTGCCCTGATCCAGCCTAAGGAGTGGTCAGCGGATCCGTGCGTGCTGGGCATTCTGCTTTCCATTGCACAGCGCCAATACTACCGCATGCCAGGGCGCCGCAAAGGCGCATACCGGGTATGTCGTTCTCCTCCTAGCCCCCTCAAAAACCACGCCCGGAAAAGCAGCCGCAGAATGGCTGACATGCGTGCGCAACAAAAACCAGGCTTGTCTCCTCGTCACGAATCTATATGACAAGCAGGACATATATTTCTTTGACGCGACCATTGCGGCGACGCTCCTCGATCAGCTCAACGACCCGCGCATAATCCCGAAGGAGATGCCGCGGACTGTCATTCACCGCACAAGAATCACCATGAAGCCGTACGAGACTTTTCAGGCGCGCCTGGTGGCGATGCTGTCGGCCGGCGGCGGCGATGCTTCCGATAGTAAAGACCGGGGGATCGCGGGCGAGGCGGGTGACGTGAAAATGGCTACGACGGTTGCAGCAGGCGACGAGGGTGACGAGGTCGATGACGGTGGCGGGCGACGGCAGGCGACGAGGGTAACGAGGTCGATGACGGTAGCGAGCGGCGTCAAGCGTGAGGATTAATGCTGGGCGATGTACTTTGAGCCGTTTGGCACAGGTCATTCTTGACCGTTGCGAGATGGAATTTGTTCGTTATGATGCGCGCACTCGCCGCCTTTGTTGGCGCGATGAATACCCTATCTGACCATATATCGGCTCACCAAAGTAGCGCTACTTTAGCCAACCTCGGATTGACAACTGCCAGCAGCGCACGCGAATCACACCGTCCCATTTCCCATCTGCCGCCTAGTGCATGCCAAAGGCCCCCTCTCCTCTAAACGGGCCGTTATTGCCGGAAACTGCATAAGCGCCGATGCTGTTTTTTTCTTCTTTTTTTTACGGGTTTCGCTCGGAAGCTTTTTCTCGCCATTGGACGACGTGTTTGTTTGCAAGTCCCATGCAGGGCTTTCATCACAAATGGCCCCAAGCCATGGCCCCCACGAAAACCCTTTCCAATATCAGCTCCACTTGCCGGGCCCCATCGTTGTTTCTGTTGCAGGGTTGTGGGCGCTTAAAATCAACGCCGCCAGCCAACCAGCGGCTTGTCTGGACGAGAAAGCTGCTCGACTGGCCCGCAGGCTCGTCCAGTCAGAAGCCCGCCCGGCCCGTCCACTGCCAGCCACTAGCCTGCAGCATCATACAGGGGTCAAGTCTCGATGGCTGCATTCCGCAATCCCCCCATGGGCCATCACCTCACTTCTTCCCGTCAAAAAGCCTTGTCCCCGCCCATCGATCCCGTGGCTGAAATCCTCGGCGGCTACTCCCCCTCCGCTACTGGTCCGAATCCCCCCCCCCACTCTGTCGGCCCCTCCCCTC